ACAAATAAAAAATAACTCACACTTCAGTTCCAGTTGAGATGGGAGGGAAACGTTTAGAAAAAATTTACACATATGAAATGGTGCAAACATACTTGCCAATACCATGCAGCTGTGTCACATGAGTCCAGCTATCTTGCAAATATTCCTTTGAGAATGTTTTAAGCGTAGCTGCCCTCCTATTCTGAAGGCCTAAAGGTCTTAACACTTTCACAAGAGCCTCAATGGGAACTTCTGTAGTGGTGTTTGCATTTGGACACAAAGTGAATAGCGTCGGTAACACTTGAGAAACCTACATGGACTCGGACAATATAAGCGATTGTTTGCATTCAAATTCGTAACATATTGGAAAATGAAAAAAAACTGTATTACTTAAAGATTCATTCATGTCTGGCGGATACCAATACATATGTAGAGACAAAAACAACTTATGACAGAAGACTCCCAATACTATGGACAAACTATTTGTCTGATATCTCCCCTCAAGTTGAGCCATGCAGGAGTTCAGGGAAACTGGATGAGTATGTGAGAACGACATGCTTCACTTTCATGACACCATCAATCACTTGTTCCCAAATATGACTCATAATGTTGGAAAGGAAATATAAGCATGCTCCCAAATGTGTTGTACAATCAGCTACCCAAAAGGGGTTATAAGCATTACCGTCATGATAGATGCATATACATTATTTGGAAAGACTTAGTACTCCTAATACGGTAATACCCCAAGTATTCATTAAGCTATTTGTTTCCAATTAGTTTTCAGGTATCTCTTATATGGAGTATATTCTCTTAGTTGGAATAATGGCTTTTTTATCTTGAGTATTCTTGGTGTCTTAGGAAAGGCCAAGCCCTTTCTCTGTCAAAGTGAAGAGTTGGACTCCAGACAATCATAGTGCCGCCAACCTCCAATCACCCTCACCTATTCCCAACATCAACCCTACAGTGGTGTACCCGCATGCTTAACACGTCCTTGCAAGTTCTTGGCGAGAACAGATGCTATTTTTCCACGATGATAGTGCTTGCATTGATGGGGAGCAAAGTAAAGAGATGAATCATGTAGCTCATCTGAGCATGATGACAATAAATGTACCATAGAATCCTTAAATTGCATGAGCGAAGGAGCAACACGAATTTCATATGTCAAGAAAGATAGTCCAACAGACTATTCTTAAAAAAGGAGTTAAAGGCAGCACTTGGCACCCCATTTCAGTAATTCAGTTTCGTGTTTTATGACTCACCATATCTGATATGAAACCATATCAAAACTCATTAAAAAAAGATACAAGATTTATACAACGGAAGTATTTTTATAAATTTGCTAAGTATGACTTTTACAGTGAAACATGTCACTGCCAAAAATCTAGGGCTCTTATAGAGAGATGAACTCTCTTTGATCCCCTGCCCCCAAAACCCCCTAACAGAGTTGGGATTATATTGGGTTTGTTGATTCTGTTGTCCTTCCAAGTCCTCGTCATCCTCCTCACCACATTGACCTATTCTGTCGTCTATGCCTCCAGATTTTGGACGGCAATCGGTGAACTGCCAGATGGAAAGATCCGTTTTCATCGCAAAGATCTGTTTTCAGACTTCTCGTTGACGAAAATCAACATCCCACCACAAATCTGGAAAAAATCAAAAAATTGTCACTGCAAATCTAGATCGGGCGAAGATGCAACCAACAGATCTGGAAAAATTTTACTTTTTCTAGTTGGTGGAAAAAGAAAGAAGAAAAATCAGAAACAAACGAAGAAGAAAGAAAAAGGAGAAGACGGAAAAAGAAGGAAGAAGAAAGAAGAAGAAAGAAAAAATAAAGAAAGAAGAAGATGATGGAAGAAGAAAGAAGAAGAAGAAAAAGAAGAAGAAGAAGGAAGAAGAAAAAGAAAATGAATAAAGAAGGAGCACAACAACAACCCAGTTAAATCCCACAAGAGTAGGGTCTGGGGAGGGTGTGTGTACGCAGACCTTGCCCCTACTCGAAAGTAGAGAGGCTGTTTCCAAAGAGACCCCCGGCTCAACGTCGAAAGTTGCATTGCTTGACTAACTGCTACTTCATTAATTAAAGAAGCGCAGACAGTTTAGAGATCCATTTTGATTTATTCCATCACACCCCAAAGCCAAAAAATGGTGAAATTTTGGCTCCATCGGAGATGATAAACAGTAGAAAGGACATTTCAGTTATAAAAACTTTCCTAAAATAGAAACGGGAAGTTTTTTTTAGGAAGGACAAAAGAGAAAAGTGGGAAGTCTAATTGTGGACGGAGGGAGTATAGAACAATAGCATGATAGATCATGATCCAAATGAAGATATATGGATAGTAGGCGNCAGAAACAAACGAAGAAGAAAGAAAAAGGAGAAGACGGAAAAAGAAGGAAGAAGAAAGAAGAAGAAAGAAAAAATAAAGAAAGAAGAAGATGATGGAAGAAGAAAGAAGAAGAAGAAAAAGAAGAAGAAGGAAGAAGAAAAAGAAAATGAATAAAGAAGGAGCACAACAACAACCCAGTTAAATCCCACAAGAGTAGGGTCTGGGGAGGGTGTGTGTACGCAGACCTTGCCCCTACTCGAAAGTAGAGAGGCTGTTTCCAAAGAGACCCCCGGCTCAACGTCGAAAGTTGCATTGCTTGACTAACTGCTACTTCATTAATTAAAGAAGCGCAGACAGTTTAGAGATCCATTTTGATTTATTCCATCACACCCCAAAGCCAAAAAATGGTGAAATTTTGGCTCCATCGGAGATGATAAACAGTAGAAAGGACATTTCAGTTATAAAAACTTTCCTAAAATAGAAACGGGAAGTTTTTTTTAGGACGGACAAAAAAGAAAAGTGGGAAGTCTAATTGTGGACGGAGGGAGTATAGAACAATAGCATGATAGATCATGATCCAAATGAAGATATATGGATAGTAGGCGGAAACTTTAATGCCATAACCAGAATGGATGAACATAAAGGTCGTTCTTGTCCTTACAGTGCATGGAAGAGCTTTCCAATTGCCTTGAATCCTGAGTCCTTGACAGCCTTGATGCAGCAGGAGGTTTCATCACTTGGAGTGGAACCAGGGGTCAGGGCAACATTTGGAGAAGGCTAGATCGTATCTTCATTAACATCAATGCAATTTTCCAGATTTGAGGGTGACACAACTCAGCAAGGGCAGTTCTGACCATAACCCTCTACTACTGAACTGCCCTATAAACCCCAGCATAGAGCCCAAATCTTTTAGATTTATAAACGCTTGGTGTTCCCATCCCTCATTTCAAAAGGTAGTTACCCCGGTGAATGAAGGTCATTGCACAGAAACTGAAAGGCCCCAAAAGAGATGCTTAGGTTACTAAGGGTGTTGATGGAAATCATGAGGACATCATCGAGCATATCCCTGAGGTTACCAGTGAGGAGGAAAATGAAAAGCTATCCTCTCTTCCCTCTTTTGAAGAAGTGAGACTTGCAGTTTGGGACCTAGATCCACATAGTGCAGCAGGCATTGTTGATTACAATGGGGAGTATTTAGGAGACCTAGAATTGGGAAAGATGTTAATTTGGTCTTACAGGAGTTCTTCTTAGAGTACCAGAATACCAGTTCCCAGTGCTTAATGGGAGCACTCTACTAACCCCCATTCCTAAGAAAGACAGCCCTAGAACACTTTATGACCACAGACAGGCCTCTCTCAATATCAACATTCATGAGCAAGATAAATCAAAGATTCTAGCAAGTAGAATTGGATCAGTTCTTCCAAAAATCATCTCTAAGGAAGAAATTGCTTTCCAGAAAAATCAAGATATTGCTGACCAAATACTAATGGCTGAGGAGATGCATCATGTGCTTAACAAAAATGTGGAGGGTGGTAAAGATTGACATGACTAAGGCCTTTGATAAGATGAGCTGGAATTATCTCAAAAATATTTTGAAGGCCTTTGGTTTCAATGATCATATCCAGTCACTGCTTTGGCTAATATGATAGCAACTATGTTTTCTGTTCTCTTAAATGGGACCCCTTGTGGCTTCTTCAATATGGAGAGAGTGAAACAGTGAGATCCTCTCTCCTCCATCCTCTATATTATAGGCAGTGAGGGTTTCTCCTAGATCCTTACCCATCGCCTAGAGACAAACTTCCTAACCCCCTTCAATGCAGGGACTGGGTGCCTATGGTTTCACATCTAGCTTATGCTGATGGTATCTCAATGGAAAGGTGAGCAACCTGATCAGATTCAGAGGTGTCCTTTCATCATACCCTGCAGGCATCTAGCCAGATGGTTAATTTTGGAAAAAGCAACGCACACTGTGGTGAAAGAATTAACAGGAACTCAATCATGGCTATGGAACACGCTCTAAACATGAAGCAAGGGCAGGCTCCTTTCACATACCTAGGGGTTCCTATTTGCAATGGAGTATTACGAAAGGAACACTGGTGGGCTTATAAAATGTTTTGACAGCTTCCTTAATTCCTCTCGCCATGATAGCTCGCCTTGCTTTATTTTGCATACCTCACCTAGGCGTCGCCTAGGCCTTGCCTTTCCTCGCCTTGGCTCGCTTAGTCCAGTACTTTTGTTTTTTTACTCCAGTGCTTCATTTTTAAAAGTGTTTTATACCCCCGGCTCCATTGCTTTGTTTTTTTAATGCTTTATAAATTAGTTAATGTTATTTTCTACTTTATCTTCATAATTATTACTCAATGCTAAACTTTTTAAATTTTGAATGATTAATTTATTACCAACTTACATCAGTAACGCATTTTATAAACTTTTAGGAAAGTACTTAAAAGTAACATTGGTAGTTAAACTTTGATGTATTAGAAAAATTTAAACTTTATATTTGTGTTTTAAATGTATAACAATTCTCCTATATTATGTGTCACCTAGACGGTCACCTAGTCGACTAGGCGTACTGGCAGTATCCCAGCGCCGCGCCTCGACTTGGCGTCGTGATAACTATGGTGGGACGTTGGATGGTTGCTTTCTGATCCGCATAAGATAGGGGCATATTTGTGTTTCCATATTTTTTTCTGTTTCCACCACAAAATAAGCGCACAACATCACATCTCTCTCTCCAATTGGGATTTTATTATACAATCCCCAATTCTAGATTTACATTTCCTTTTACATCAATGATCCCTTATTTTTAATTTTGAGATGTACTTTCTGTTTGTTCTCCACCGATTGTTCCCAAAATGCGTCCGAAAGAGATGGCCAAGCAGGTAGGGCGGCCAAAAACTTTGTTCTGCAGAAATGAGCAACCGGTGGGCAGTGTCAACATGGATGCGTTGGTATTGGCAATAGAGGGACTTCATTGCTTCCGAATATTTACCTTCGAGCAATTGCTTTCCACGCCTACACGACTACATGTATAATTCTTCGCCAAACTTCTTTCTCTCCCACTACCTAGTGCTAAAAAATTTAATTAATTTAAAACCAAGTTTTCAATTATGTTTTTTCTTCTGCAATTTTCTCAATTAATTTTCTCTATTGTGTTTATTGATTCGTTATGTTTACTCATTGCATATTTCTAATATTGTGCATTATCAACATCGCGACAATGCATTTATACTAGAACGCAACGCATTCTCATACCTAAGTAAAATGCAAACAAATTGACAAAGTGTATAATATACGCATATACATAGTAAAAAATCAAAATGCATAGTTTTACTGCATATTAACAGAATAAAACAAAGACAATGCATTGAGCACAGTTACCTGCTGAATTTAATTTCTTATCTTTCAAAGACGATGCATTCTATAATTGCGCAATCTCACAATCAAGTTAATGCATCTCATGGTGAAATTCTCTTTGCACAAGTATGATGCACCAATTTATCCTAGATTGTGAATTTTTTACAAATGTTGGTGTATTTAAAATGTTCAGTGATATGTTTAAATATGGGTTAGGCACACAGATGCAAATTTTAAAAGATTAAAATGCATTTTTAATACGTCCATGTGCAAGAGGAAGAGTCTATTTAAAAAAACAAATCATTATCAATAAAGTCAAATGGTAGATGGGTATCAACTACGGATGTGGGATCGAATCCCGCATAAGAAAACTATATTTCAAATTTGTATTAAAATTATTCTAAATACAATGCATTCTCGGAC